TTATCAGAAACCACTCAGCTGCACGCAACAGTTAAAATAAAAGCTACCAGAGTCACAAGGAGAAATACATAGAAATATACTAATGAAAGATTTTAACATGTCATTCTCTATATGAAATAGATCAAGTAGCCAAAAGACGAAACATAGTACGTTCAACCATTTGGGTGTTATGACAGGACTTCAACAAGTTCATGAAGAGTGGAATGAAAAGATAAGGGAAGTTTTCCATGATCTTTTTGAAGCCCCATCATATATGCATATTACCTTGAGTGTTTACAGAGACCACAGCTGTTTTGAGTGCATATGGAACTTCCAAAAAAGTTTATCATATACTTAGGCCCCAAGGAAACTTCAATAGGTCCCATAATATCCATAAAGTAGAAATATTAAAACATAAAAAACTACAAGTTAAAAACGAAATTAAAGGGGGTGGGGGAAAGGCCATCTACGAAGAAATGAAAGACTACAACTCTTTCAGTAAAGGAGATATACAAGAAATTACAGAATCCATGAAAACCAACTACAGTATTTTTCTGCAAATAATGTGAGATGTCTACATTTGTTTGCTAGCTGCTCCCTTACACTATCTCTTCCAGGTATTTTTGGAAGCTACTATGCTAATTTTTTTTAAAAGTAATCTGTAAAAAATATTTAGCATAATTTACAAGGTTGTTGTTGTTGTTAGGTGTCACTGAGTCAGTACCAACTCATAACAACCCTATACACAACAGAACAAAACACTGCCCAGTCAATCCTGGGCCAACTTCACAATTGTTGCCATGCTTGAGCCCACTGATGCTGTCACATTGCCAATCCATCTCACTGAGGTCTTCCTCTTTTTCTCTGACCCTCCAACTTACCAAACATGATATCTTTCTCCACATACTGGTCCCTCCTGACAATATGTCCGAAGTATGAGACACAAAGTTTGGCCATCCTGGCCTCCAAGGAGCCCTCTGGATGCACTTCTTCCAACACCGATCTGTTTGTTGGTTCTTTGGGCAGCCCATGGCACTTTCAATATTCTCCTCTATCACCATAACTCAAATGCATCAATTCTTCTATGGTCTTCCTTATTCACTGGCCAGCTTTCATATGCATTTGAGGTTATTGAAAATACCACAGCTTGGGTCAAGCGCACCTTAGTCCTCAAGCTGACATGCTTGCTCTTCAATACTTTAAAAGGTCTTGTGCAGCACATTTGCCTAATGCAGTATGTCATTTGATTTCTTGACTGCTGCTTGACTGTTGATGGTTGATCCAAGAAGAATGAAGTCCTTGACAACTTCAATCTTTTCTCCATTGATAAGAATGCTGCTTATTGGTCCAGTGGTGAGGATATTTGTTTTCCTGACATTGAGATGTAATCCATACCGAAGGCTATGCTCTTTGTTCAGCCAACAAGGTTGTATCATCTGCATATCGCAGGTTGTTACTGAGTCTTCCTCCAATCCTGATGCCACATTTTTCTTCACATAAACCAGCTTCTCGGATTATTTGCTCAGCATACAGGTTGAATAAGTATGGTGAAAGAATACAACCTTGCCGCACACCTGTTTAATTTTAAACCATTCAGTGTTCCTATGTTCTGGTTGAACAATTGCCTCTTGGTCCATGTACAGATTCCTCATGAGCATAATTAAGTGTTCTAGAGTACTCATACTTCGCGATGTTGTCCATAGCTTGTCATGATCTATATAATCAAAAGCCTTTGCATCGTCATAAAGCACAGGTAAACATCTTTCTGGTATTCTCTGCTTTCAGTCAAGATCTATCACACATCAGCAATTATATCCCTCGTTCCACGTCCTCTTCTGAATTCGGCTTGAACCTCTGAAGTTCTCTGTCAATGTATACTTGCAGCTATTTTTGTATTACCTTTAGTAAAGCTTTGCTCGCATTGGCTATCAAAGAGATAATCCAATGATATCCACATTCCGTTGGGTGACCTCTCTTTGGAATGGGCACAAATATGGATCTTTTCCAATCAGTTTTCCAGATAGTTGTCTTCCAAATTTCTTGGCATATATGAGTGAGCTACTTGGTAAAAGTAAGGTATAATCAAAACACTACTTATCAGACCTACAAGCTACACTTAAAAGTGATCAGATGAAAATTCATAGCCATAAATACAAATGAAAATAAAAAGAAAATATATAAATTCTCCATTTATAAAGAAACAAAATGAACAACCACAAAATAAATCTACAGACGATCAAAATAACAAATCAAAACACTGGTTCTTTGAAAAAGCAAATAAAATTAATCACTAGTTGATTTAATCAAGTTTGTTTTTTGTTGTTACGAAAAAAAGGAAGACACAATTATGTAAACACTAAGAAACAACAAGGAAATAAAAATTGATAAAGGGGACTATGAAAAAAAAGTCATGAGTCATATACCTTCCACTATTCAATACCATTTGTAAACCAATGTATAATATCTTATATAAACCAATGTAACCAATGTAAACCAATGTATAATGTCTTAGTGAAAATGTTCCAGATTAAAGGAGCCTAGAGACCTGCTCATCTATTAGTTTTTTATATTATGCTGGCTCTCACTTGTCTATGCCAGAAAATTTGGAAAACAGCTACCTAGCCAACTGACTGAAAAAAAGCATCCATATTTGTGCCCATTCCAAACAAAGATAAATCAACAGAATGTGGAAGTTATAGAACCATAAATGCAAGTAATATTTTGCTGAAGGTATTCAAGTACAGAGCCAGGGAACAGCCAGAAATTCAAGCTGGACTGAGATGAGGACTTGGAATGAGGGATATCATTGTCGATGGCAAATGGATCTTGGCTGAAAGCCGAAAATACCAAAAAGATGTTTGTGTTTTACTGACTATGCCAAGGCATTTGACTATGTGGATCTTAAAAAATTAGGGATAACATTAGGAAGAAAGAGAATTCCAGAACACTTTTACTGCATTCATACTTAGACCAAGATTTACTCATTGGAACAGGACAAGAAGATACTATTGTGTGGTATAAACTAAGGAAAGGTGTACATCTGGGTTATATGTTTTCACCATACTTATTCAACCTGTATATTAAGCAAATCACCATACTTATTCAATCTGTATATTAAGCAAATCATCCAAGATGCTGGACTATACAAAAAAGAATGTGGCATTAGGATTAGGGGAGATTCATTAACTTTCTGCACTATGCAGATGACAAAATCTTGCTCACTGGAAGCCAAGACGACTTGAAGCATTTACTAAAGCACTACAAACTCCAGTACGGATTACACCTCAACATAAAACAAAACTCTTCACAACTGGACCAAAAAGCATCATTATAAACAAAGAATACACAGAATTGTCAATGATTTCATTTTACTTGGGTTTACAAACAACATTCATGGAAGCAGCTGTCAAGAAATCAAATGATGCATTGTATTGGGCAAATTGGGTGCAAAAGATCTCTTAAAGTGTCGAAGACTAAAGATGTTACTTTGAAGGCTAAGGTATACCTGATTCAAGTTACAGTATTTTCAATTGCCTCATATGCATGCAAAAATAGATGATGAATAAGGAAGATCAAAGAAAAATGGATGCATTTGAATTATAGTTTTGGCAATATTGTTGTTAAGTGCTGTTGAGTCGATTCTGACCCATAACAACCCTGTATAGGGTTTCCATGGAGCAGCTGGTGAGCTTGAACCATCGAACTTGTAGTTCAAGCGACTTTGCTGTCTGACGCATTAGCCCAATAAATTACATAAACTCACAAAATTATAATATAGATGTATATTCAATAAAAAGTAAATTTATAAAGTTAGTAATTGTACTGTGGTATGGAAAAATATCTTTAGTCTTAGGAAGCAGCAAACTGAAGTAGTGAGGGATATAGAACTATGATTAAAGGGGGAAATGTGCATATATAAATACACACAGACAGAGAAAAGAGTGAGCATGTAAACTCTTGCTAATGTTAGGTGCCATCGAGTCGATACCGACTCATAGCGACTCTATGTACAACAGAATGAAACACTGCATGGACCTGGGCCAACCTCACAATTGTTGCCACACTTAAGCCCACTGATGCTGCCACTTGGCCAATCCATCTCGCTGGGGGTCTTCCTCATTTTCTCTGACCCTCCACCTTACCAAACAGGATATCCTTCTCCAGTGATTGGTCCCTCCTGACAATATGTCTGAAGTATGAGAGACGAAGTTTGGCCATCTTGGTCTCCAAAGAGAACTCTGGCTGTACTTCTTCCAACACAGATCTCTTGGTTCTTTTGGCAGCCCATGGCACTTTCAATATTCTCCTCCAACACCATAACTCAAAAGCAACAATTCTTCTACAGTCTTCCTTATTCACTGCCCAGCTTTTGCTTGCATATGAAGTTAATGAAAATATCATGGCTTGGGTCAGGCGCACCTTAGTCCTCAAGCTGACATCTTTGCTCTTCCACAATGTAAAAAGGTCTTGTGCAGCACATTTACCTAATGCAATACATCGTTTGCTTTCTTGATTGCTGCTTCCATGAGTGCTGATGGTTGATCCAAGAAAAATGAAGCCCTTGACAACTTCAATCTTTTCTCCACTGATAATAATATTTATTGATCCAGTGGTGAGGATTTTTGTTTTCTTTACAATGAGATGCAATCCATACCACAGGCTGTGGTCTTTGATCTTTATCAGTAAGTATTTTAAGTCCTCTTCACTTTCAGTGCAAGGTTGTATCACCTGCATACCGCAGGTTGTTAAAATAATGAAGTAAACTGGGTAAAATGTTAACAACAGGCAAAAAGTGAATGTGGGCAAAGTATACACTCCTATTCTTTGTACTACTTTATTTCTGCAATATTTTTTAAGCCTTAAATAATTTTCTAATATAAAGTTTAAAAGTTACATTATAAAGTTAGAATTGTGTTACCCATTCCATGTCTGTTAATAAAAAATTCATTTGTAAAGAAAACTTTATTCCTTTAAAATATTGAATTACCTGAAACATTAGGTGAGAAATGCTAAGAGCTTACCCATGAGTAGGAAGGCAGAGAAGTCTCTCTATATTAGAAAGGACAATTTTTATGGTCTCGGGGGTTCTGGAAGAGCCAAACTCTGTCACCAAGAGTGATTTGGTAATATCTAAAAGAAAATGTTATAAATATTAAACTATTACTAACTTTTAACAATCAGAACTCTAGAAAAAAAATTGACATCTGTAATGGAGAATAAAATAGGACATTTTTATCCCCCTTCCTAAATTTTAGGCAAATTTGTTTCTTACATTTTAAATACTAGAATGCTAATAAATTTATCAATGATTTATACATCCATCAAAGAGTCTAGCCTGTCCTAAAAAACATGCTGAATCTAAATGATTTACCTGCACACAAAAAAACTTCAGCAAGCAACAAATACTTTAAATATTTTTAAAAATTTAATTAAGAAAGAAATGTTTAAGCAGATTTGAAATAAAGCAGCAGTACTGATACAAATGGGAGTGGCTCCAAAGGTAAACACTGAACTGTGAACTACAAAGTCGGTGGTTCAAGCTCACCACTGGCTGCTCTATGGCAAATAGATGAGGTTTTTTGCTCCTGCAAAGATATACAGCCTCAGAAGCAGGGTTACTATGAGTCAGTGCCAACCTGATGGCACTTAACAACAAGTGATTCAAATAAACTAAAACTTAAGTGGTAGTTTTCTATCTCCATTTACAAACCTGAAAGATTATTCAATGGTCTCCAATCCCTCTAGAACACTGTGACTGATGCTCGTGGCACTTAAGGCTCTTGGGTAACAGGCTCTTCTCTGTTACAACTCCACACTTGTGTAGTTTACCACATGAAATGTATGCTTAGCAGCTTTGTCTGTTCCTAAACATGTTTATAACACGTTGTACTTCTTCTAACAATTATGCAATTTAATGAAATACTACTAGGAAATTTAATGATAAACTGAGATAAAGAGATATGATTTAGGGGAAAATTGCTAAAAAAATGAATATAAAGAGTGTAAGAATTATTTCAGCGAATACTATACCACATTCTTTCAATTCAAAGATGCATATTTCTCACATGCTAGCATCTCTAAAAGTAGGATGTGTCTTCCAATCATTAGGGTCTTAAGTTTACTGAAAAAGTAATGAACTAAATATATGCTTTCAAATTAACAGTAGACAAAACAAACACAAACACACACACAAAAAAAAACTCACTCCCATTGAGTCAATAAACAGTCACATAGGACAGAGCAGAAGTGATGCCTAGGGTTTCCGAGACTGTATATTTTTACAAGCACAGAGAGCCTCAGCTTTCTCCCTCAGCACCCAGCTAGTGGGTTTGATGCACTGACCTTGCAGTTAGCAAAACAACACTTAACCCACTTTGTCACCAAGGTGGACATGACAACTGTAAAGTAAAGGATGAGAAAAAATGTAAAATTCTAAAAAGCTTTTGAATGCAGACTGTTTTGCAAGTAACTTTTTAAGTTCCTGCTGCACTTAAGAGAATCTAAAAAGGCAATGTGGAAAATATTTGAGGTTTGTGGAAAGAAAGGGGACTCAAAACTTCAACCAGCTATCACAGAATAAGACTTAAAACTCCACTCATCTAGCTTATTAAATATGTGTGTGTATCATTTTTTTATCATTCCCAGTTTAAACAAACTTTTTTCTCAATGCATAGTCTAGTGATTGGTCCCAATGGCATCAGATAGGAGAAATTCTAATTTCAAATGTAATGGCTGAAACAGTAATTCATGATCTCTAGTCTTACTCTGAGCCTGAGCATTTGTTCAGCTCCATTTGCTTCCACAAGTACTCCTATGAAGAAGGCACAGGGCCAGCAATGTTTCATTCTGTTAAACGGAAGATCGCCACGACTCAGACTGACTGGACAGCACAGGACTGCTAACACAGGTCGGCAGTTCAAACCCACCAGCAGCCCCTCGAAAACTCTATTCAGGGTCGTTATGAGTCAGAACAGATTTGAAGGCACTTAACAACAACAACAATCACACTGAATGTGGAGCTCAAAATAAAAGCAAACAGAAAGTATACACAACTTAAGAATAGTTAACATTTGGAGAATCCGATAGGTTAACTATACCTGAGTATATATATCGAGTATGTGTGTGTGTGTGTGTATGTATATATATATATATATTTATACACACATATAAATATAAAACATATATAAAGCAAATATATATGT